AGGATATGAAAATATATTTTATATATATAGTCTTTTTTAGAACACTTTTTTAAAATTTATTTCAGACACATATGATGAGCCCGAATTCCAATGACAAGTCATTGAAATTATCACCAATTCAGAAACAAAAGGTATAATATACAGAATTTTAAAATTTTGATGGGTAAGAACAGTTTAAATTATTTTTTAGAAGGTTTCTGGAAAGAACATAAGAAAGGTAAGCATTTACTTTATAATTTAAAAGACAAGGAATACAAAATAGATGGAGTCCTTTTATGACTAGTTCTGTTGGTATGTATTTTCTGTGATGTAACAAGAGCGATAGAATGCCATTGTTGAAATTTGCTCTTCGAGGTCACTATCATCGTTACAGTAGCTATGCTTTATGTGCTGTCAAGCAATAGATGATGACTGTAGTTCTTATGTATAAGAAGGAGTTACTGTTTATCAGATTTGCTCTCTGGCTGGTTAATCACATTTTGTGATTTTAGTGAAAACATTTGATAATCACTTTTCCAATTTTTGGATTGGGCTTAGTTTATCAAGAAGTTGATAGTATAAGAACAAGATTAAAGTATACATTTTGAATTTAGTCAGAGACCATTCATGGGTGAGAAAGAGACCTTTTGTGAGTAATAAGTAGCAAGACAAAGGAATACTTTGTGGGTTTTAAAATCCTAAAGAGATTGAAATCCTTTGCCTTTCCTGTCTCTAAAGACCACAGGATGAAAGGATGAAGGGTTAATTAAAGCAATGTAAATTGAAGGAAAAAGGCTACAGAAAGCTTATAATGTTTATCTCTAGTACTTTTGCTTCATTATTGAGTTAAAAGTCCTTAAAACTAAGGCCACCGAATGCAAGAGAATCTTACTAACTGTAAACATTTAGAGTAAGTCCTCATTAGTCTTGTCTATATTTCAGAAAGTTATGGTGAATGACAGCATTCCTTTGAATTTGGGAGAGTTATTCTACCAATATGGTTGTAGAAACTCAATGGATGTTGACTGACTTATTAACTGACTCTATTTCCAAACAGACATCTTTTCTGTGTCTTTCCTTCCTCTTTTCTTAGACTCTGTGCCCTGCCTCTTTTGGGCTGCTTTATTGTACCAGGGAATGAAAAGCACATAATTTAAAAGAAATCAGTTCTGGTAACTGGTTCTGTCTCTCTTGAGGCTCTTGAAAAAAGACTTTTAACTTGTCCTGCTTTAATAATTTCTTAGGCAACAAATGAGCCTTTTTCTAAGGCCAGCACTTATCAAAATTTATAAAATTTGATTCGGTGAGGTGTAATGATCAGAGACTCAAATTCATCTAGTATTTGAATCAGTTAGTTTGTAAAATTTAGTGTAACAATTTGGTTTTGCCATATTTTGTCCAGCAAGAAATTAATTCCATATTGTTGACATATTTTTCATATCCCAGTGTTTGATTTCATAGTTTTTATACTTTGATTTCTTTTTTTTATAGAGATTTTTGCTATAGGGTGCATGTACTCACCAGAGAGAGACAGAAAGTGAAAAATCACCCCCCCAGGGGGGATGGCCACGCTGCAGTCTTTTCTCCTGCATTCTCTTCTCGGGACATTGGGCATGGATGCACATGCACCCAGCCTGAGTTTTAAGCCACTGGGTCCAGGACTCAAATTTTGGTCGACAATGTGGGAGTCCTGTGGTGTAACCATTATATCTGCTGGTTCCAATAAAAATCGTAGATTTTTACCCTAAGTATTTTTTCCTCTTACTGTTTTTTCATGTATGTAGATTATTATAAAGAAAATAATAGATAAAAGGAAGAGGATCAAAAATTTGAAAGTTCGTAAAGATGTTTAGAAAAGAAACTATATTCATTATTATTTAGTATATAGCTGAAAATATTTGATTTACAGTTTTCATTTTGGTTTTTTAATTTAAGATATAAACTTTATTTTTTTCAGTTTTTAAATTTTTTACATTTTTTCTTGTGTTCTTTAATTTTATTGTTTTCATGGACTCACAGGACAAATAAAAATTTGAAAATTAAAAATGGTAGAGAAGGTAGAAAATTACAGTGAACTGCTTTACATGCAAGAGAAGTGTGAAAATTTGAGCAGCATCTTGAAAAATCAGTCTGAAAATGTGTTTTATGTAATAACTGATTGATAAAAGGGGTGGAAAATAAATGTCGATGATCTTGTAATTAATGACAAAATTAAAGCAAGTAGTGGGAATTGAAAACTAAGCACAGATACATGTTACTAAATCAAAATTAAATGTGCCACAGATCTAAAGGGCATAACGTGCCTCTAAAGAAAACAAATCTTCAGCAAAATGTCACATAAAACTGAATATTTTAATTCTCCTATTGAATAGAAGACTTTATATTTTGTAAAGTCTTGGCAATAATTTAGAGTAGATAAGTTACCTTTGTCAATTAATAGTAGTATGACGATTACTTCAAAACTTTACAGAAACAAGAAACACTCGAGAAACTGACCCAGCAAACAGCTCGTACTGAAAATGATGGTAGTAATGTATATGAATATGAAGAGATGTCAAAAGAGAACGAAGGGAAGGCATATAAACAGCATCTGGCAAAAGGTTCATTCATGATGGAAGCAGCTCTGACTATGGAAGAATTTTCAGATGAGGATGTAGGTAGTGATACCAGCCAGAGAGGGCTCCAGGCTGACACCGACGGAGAGGGATTGCAAAAGGAGAGAATTAGACAGGAAAACCAATGTGATGTTGAACCACTTGGAACTAAGGAAGTAGAAAAGGCAAGTGATGGAGGAACCAGTGAGAAGGATTCAGAAGCAGAAGAAATAGTCTCTGAGAAGGAAACCAAGCTGGTGGAAATGGCAGGTCGGAAGCATTTAAGAAAAAGTGAAAGGAATATGCAAGAGGTTGATAAATTCTTTGATGAGTTACCAGATAGAGACAAAAATAGTGACAGTGAAGAAGATGATGTTATTAAAGAAAAGAAAAGTAGCAAGCAAAGTGTGATCTTTGGCAATGAAAGAAAAGCGATAGAAGAGCCAGAGTGGTACGCGGAAAGTGAAACTGAGATTTGGCAGGGTATAATAGTTGGTGAAGAGGAGAATCCTGAGTCACAAGAACCTGGTAGTGCAGAGAAGGATGAGGATGAAGTAGAAACTGACCACAGCTTGTGGTATAACAGAAATTTCATTGGACAAGGACATAAGGAAGCAGCGGGACCCCAAATGTCCAAATTCATGACAAAATATGATTTTAAGTGTGACCTCTTATCCAAGATCCCAGAGGAGCAGGAAGAATCAGAGTCAGAAGGAAGTGAATTAGAGCAGCAAGAGGTAGAGGCAAGAGAGGAGAATGTGGAGGTGCATGGAGGAAGAAAGGAGGAGGAAACAAAGAGCCTATCAGATGAGGTGAGTGAAGGCAAGGGAAAGGCAGGGGCAGAGGCAGGGGATAGTCCTGAAGGAGGAAGGGATGGGATCTGCGAGGAGGGGAACTCACAGGCAAGGCAGTGGCAGAGGGAGGACGGGGAGCAGGGGCAGGAGGAGGGTGAGGAAGACAAGGGAGGAGGGAAGATGGAGAGCCTGGATAAGGGAGAGGAGGACTTCATAGAGGAGGAAGGGTGGGAGAAGAGGGATGAGGAAGAATGGGAGAAAAAGGAGAGGGAACAAGTTTATCAGGAGGAAAGAACCCAAGAGATAGAGGAAGGAGAAGAGGGTAAGCTCGAAGAGGGGGCAGAAGGGGCAGAGGAACAAGGAGAAGAAGATGAGGCAGGAGGAGAAGAGGAAGGGGAAGAGAAGGTGGGAGAAGGGAATGAGGACAAAGAAGGGGGAAAAGAGGAAGGAGAAAGTGAGGTGGAAGAAGAAGAGAGGGGAGAGAAGGAAGGAGGAAGGGAAGAGGGGGAAGGAGAGGGAGAAAAGGGGGAAGAAGATGGTGGAGAGGAGGAAGGAGAGGGGGAAGAGGAAGAAGAGGAAGGGGAAGAAGGGGAGGGAGAAATGGGGGAGGGAGAAGAAGGAGAGGGGAAAAGAGGAGAAAGAAATGAGGAAGGAGAGGGGGTAGAAGAGGCTAAAGAGGAAGAAAGAGAAGGGGAAGAAGGGGAAGGAAGAGAAGGAGAGGGGGAAGGAGAAGAGAAAGGAGATGTGGAAGGGGAGGGAAAAGAAGAAGGAGAGGGAAGAGAGGAGAAGGTGGACAGAGGAGAAAGGGAAGAGGTGGGGAAAGAGGATGGAGAAGAGGGGGGAGGTGAAGGGGAGGGAGAAGGAAAAGAGGAAGGAGATGGGGGAGAAGAGGAGAGAGAGGGTGAAGGAGAAGGTAAAAGAGGGGAA